TAACAACATATTTTCAGGTGAGGTAAGACATACAGGAATCCCGCTGTACTGTAAAATCTGATGCAGATTGCTGTGAAATTACACCTGAAAACAGTTCCATCACCTACAAACACTGTTCTCAACATGTAACATGACACAGAGCTCTAGCCTCAACACGTTTAAACAGAAGATTGCCTCACACACATAATCACACATCTGTGTAGGTAGACTGGTTGCCGAATTGTTTAATGCACAAACAATTTAGTCATTAGATGTTGAGGAGGAGTGAACAACAAAGAATGGAAAATGGGTGTGCATTCATCCACAATCCCTTCCTTCCTTCTTCCCTCCTTCCACCTCAGCAGTCTCCTCCTCTGTCCTACCTAACCCTGACCTGATAGGTAGAATGGATGACTCTGTTTTTGACTCTGTTTCCATTAAAGGTTTACTATTTAATTTACATGTAAATAAACCAAACTGGAAGCTCCATTTGTAATTACACAGAGCAAGAATCAACTTGTGCCCTCCTACTCAAAATAACTGAAGTCGCAGCCTCTCCAAGAGCATGCTATCTGTGAAAAGGCTGAGAAAATAGTACAAGATCAGTTGTGTCACAGCAGTAAACAACAGTGAAGGTGAGGTTTAAAAAGGTCCCAATTATCAACAGCAGCACATGCTCACACAGCAGGAACAAGGTTACCGAGGCTGCCTGCGTCTGTGTAGACAAAACAAATGCTTGTGACTGGACTAAAAAGTGGGCAGTAGTGGCATAAAGTTTAGAGTACTGAGCCTGTGGAAAGGTAGATCATGGTTCCGAATCAACAAGCAGTGGGAGACTCGACGAAAACAAGAAATACGAAAACAACAAATGCTCTTTTAACAGGACCTTGAGCAAGACATTAATGTATTAAGTTTCCTTAAATTTACCATTCAAAAGACCTCTCTCTGACTTCACTCTTCAACTCTAATCCTCGATATAAATGAACCCAAATAGGTGTTGTTACTCGTTTGAACATTGCAACGTCAACAAATGTAAAACTAGTTTTATTAGTATCTGACAAAGTATACAATGTTACATTGATGGGATTGTTAGAGCCCAAGGAAACATCTGCATTGCATTTTTCTCTCAACTTTCATTTTCACTCAGCCTCTTTACCAGCTGTGTCAACAAGATGCCTCGGCCTCCTGCAGCCACAAGCTGCCCTGTAAGATAAAATACGTTGGAAAAACACCAGATTGATCACATAAAGACGTGTTTTCACCTTTTTACTGGACATCATAATTTAATAGCCGCCAAGATTTGTTTAACCTGTTCTTTTTGATGGTCTTTTTTTTGATGGACCATGATTTCTTTTCCCTTACTTGACCTTGAACTTGTATTTTTCATACAGGTTCTCTTGTAAAGAAAAGGCTTCATATTTTGTGTTTGCTTGTAACAAGGACAGCAACAAAAGAACAAAATTGCAAGGAACATTCTTGACCAGAGAGGAGAAGGCTGAGAGAGAAATGTCCCCAAAACTGGCCTACAGGCTATATTCTGCCAACCCTTAAGGCTCTTATACACTCGCCGTTCCTGACCTGTAGCACGACAATGTGAAGTCATGGGAGCGCTGTAACTATTTATACTTGCGCGTTGTGGTCGCAACACTAGTTGCAGTCTTCTCCTGAACAGAGGTCTCGCAACTGAGGAAAGGCTACCGACTTTGCTATTTCTACACACTAGAAGAAGAAGAAAAAGGTAAACAATGGCAGACCTCTTTTTTGATTTTCCAAATCGGTCGCAGAGATTCTTCCAAATTTTCCGGCATATGGCCTCCTCTTTTCCAACATTCATGGCGATTTCTCGCCATGAATTCTGGCACCTCTGGGCATCTCTGTGTTCCTTCACTGAAGGATCATACAGATGCCTGTAGAGGCACACTTGCTCGGAAAGCTTGCCCTCGAACTCGTCCATCTTCCTGTTTCTGCTTTGGCGCACTCAGCTGAAAAAAAAAAAAAAAAGTGGTGCGCAACTGGGCCTAAATCCTGCCGCGCCAGCGAGATCTGCGTCATTTTGACGTCACATTGTCGCACAACAGGTTGGGAACGGCGAGTGTATAAGAGCCTTTACTCACTCTATGACAAGGAAAGCCTGGCTACTAGATACTTTAAAAGTCCCCTTTTACACAAAATGCCTTCTTTGGATTCATCTACTTCTCTTCAACTTTTTCTCTCTTTATAACCAGAGTTTACCAAGAGGGGTCTTATGTAATTAGCTGGTTATGAAACACTCAAAGTTTCTTGGGTGCTAATGTGGGTGAGGGGCTGCTAAGAGGATGAAAGCTTCACAAGTGACATTCCGCTACCCTTTACTAGACCCTCTTTGACCTCACTAAACCTCAAGGGAAGAAACTTCCAGACAATGCTGATGCAAAACATTCATGCAGGGTTTTGTGATTCACAGTCTATCATGAACTATAATTACTATTATCAGCCAGTGCTTTGAGGCCCAATGACATTGCACCTCCTTAGTCTGACGTGTTTCCTATTAAAACAGGATGGGACATAATACAGAGAGGCTCAAGTGTGAACCAATGATATATTGGGAAGAAATTTACATTTGTTATATAATGGGTGCCATACAAGAGCCACATTGTTTAGCCTAATTGAACATAGACTGGCTGTACTTCACCTAAACATGACTCAAAATCTCAGCAAAGGCACAAAGTATACAAAAATAATCTTTATGTCATCCCTTTCAGAAGGGTTGCCTGCACTGCTAGTGTATTCCTACCCCCGTACCACAGTCTTTACTATTTGCCTCCTGGTCAGATTCCACTCTAACTCCAACCACACCAGCTGTTAGCTGGTTGGTGCCCTGGTGGTAGGCAGAGGAGACAGTCCAGTGTTTCCCAGGAAGCATGAATAATGCAATCTTTTCATTTATCATTTCATGGGAACTCCAACAACAGGTCAGGAACCTAATTAGCTAAAGACGTAAAAAAACAAAATATGCTGAGAGAGTACGGCAAGTGTGCAGAGAAGCGTACTGAAATACAAAAGTGCAGTTTTTTCAGTTTATTTTATTTTTTAAACATTTAATGTCTAGTGTGAGCCAGTGTATGTCACCACAAGCATAAGCTGTTAACATACCGTTGTTGGTAAAACATTCTGGCATGCCATGTAATGAAAAATGTGTTTTCATGCCATTAAAAAATGCAAATGTGCAACATTCCAACCTAGAAACACAGATGCAGTGAGAAAGATGAACGCAGTGCAGACATAAGAGGCAAAACATTTGATGTGGCACTTGTTGAGAGACAGGTTGTATCAGTTCAAAACGTTCTTTCTGCAGGAGAACTCTTGATATAATTGATCCTAAAACAGCTGCAAACTTCTTTGTAACTTTAAGGAAATAAGATTTAAAAGGCTTGCTTACAAAAATGTATAATTTAAGCCTTGCTTGTGGAAATATAATAGCCTCTGACCATCCAAGGGCCCCCTGCATCCTACCAGATATAGTCTAAACTTAAGTGTCAGTGCACACCAGGAGTACTGTCAACTGACCGTGTCTGAATGTCTATGGTGTATCAGAGGGGCAAAAAGCATGCTTAATATTTTGGCTTATTTCTTTGTTGCAATCACAACAGCTTAACTAGTTCTGTCTGTCCAATTGCTACTCCAGGACTCAAAGCCTTCAAGCAATTTTGAGTGTTCAAAAGGAATTATGTGGGGGAAAGAACTAAAATATATCTTCTTTAGAGATTTACAAGGTGAAGTGCAGGTGAAGCAGTCAAACTTCTGCAACATTGTCGTGAAACTGTAATGGATGCCTCCCAGTTGCCTTGGACATTTTCAATTGATAACTTTGACATTATTGTGACACGTAATAACATGAAGGTGAATGAGTGAATGGCACATGCCCATCAAACACACACGGCCACTACAGTCACTTATAGAAACCAAAGCCAAAAAGCGGTGACTGCATTTTCTGCCTGCGTACCTCTGATCACACCTCTGCTAGAGGATCTTACTGCAAGCTCTGCATATGACTTGTGAAGAAGATAACAGTCCTTTGTTTGATCACTGCACAGCTCCCACTGGGCCTCCCTGAGCTCTGGGATGAGACAGCTGTTCTGCATGTACCATTGTTTGAAGCATAGTAAAGGTTGCCTTGAGGATGAACAAACTGTACCGTCAAATGATTCTGACACAACAGATACACATGTACGGGTTCAAAGGTGAAAGAACGAAGACCAAATCACTGCAACAGAGAATCAGTGAGAAAAATCAGGCCATTAAACATTTTATGAGCAGCTTACAAGCAAGTTATGTTAATCTACAAGTTTCAACATGTAAACATATTTATTCTCTCCTATACACAAGCACAAGAGGAGATGCAGGACATTCTGAAGTGCCTCCTATTTCGCTTAATGCCAGGATTCCCATTTAAATACCTCCATTAGGTAAAGGAGCCCCACAGTGTTTTATTTTACCTCACCACCCATTCTGCAGGTGGGTAGTGCGTAACAAAAGCACTCATTGCTGCATGTTTTGTCATGTTGCCAGCTCATAGGCTACTAATACAAAACTCCACTGAAAAAGCTCCTAATTTTACAAGGGACCTCTTGCAGCAACCGCAGGGCCCTTTGATCCCACTTTGGCCACTACTGCTATGTGGAGTTAAAGTTTCTGTGTGCACAGTTGAGCTAAAAAAGCATCAGAGTGTAGCTAGCAAAGTACATGAGCCAGTATTTACTTTTAAAATTAGTTTTTCAATGCACAGAGTTTGGTTCAGCTGGACACACGAGTTTGTAAATGTAGATCTGCAGCAACTGTGCAGCTAGGACAGTTGGACGTACTCTTGCAACATCTGGTACCACGTTGACAGCCAGACACATGCAAGTAGGGTTACACATGTAGCCACTCAAGACACTCAAGGAAAGGGAAATGGTTTAGGTCAAATGCACTCAGTGACAGCAATACACCTGCACAAGACTCATTCATACTCGTGCACACACACGTTACCCATCAGTACTCACATGCTGGTGCTCTGTCGGTGTCAGTAAAGGATGTGAATCCGCTGTCAGGTAACCGGACACCGAGTGTAGACAGCCGACTATCAAGAGTGTGTTTATTTGTGTGCGTTAACTTCTCTGCTTGCTAACCTCACACATACACACAATCACAGACACACCGCTGCTGGTCGGAAGAGGAAGGAGATATGAGGGGTTTATATACACACACACACGCGCACACAGGTACACACGGAGTGACTTCGGGACGGCCGAGCGGGCGCTCAAAGCGTCGATACACGCGCTGTCACACACATACACACACGCACTCTTGCTCAGTCCCTCATATGTAGTAAAGGCGCTAGGACTCTGAAGCTAGTTGCTAACTGTCTACTATAGCTAACTTAGCTAGCAGCTGGCACCGTCCGTCCCCGTCTGGCGGATATAGGAGTCTGCTACTGCGCCTGCCTCCTACTCCCTGTTAATCTCTCTCGCTCTCTCTTTCTCTCTCTTTCTCTCTCTCCATAAGCTTTCATCCCTCTGTTTGACATGACGCAACCAGGCACGCCCTCCTCCGCTGTCAACCAATCACAGAAGAGGACACGACAGCACGCAGCGAGCGGCACCATTTAAAGAGCTCGGGGCTAGTGGCTCTCCTGTGTTACATTAAGTAGTTAAAGTGTCACAGTGTCATAAAGGAAGGTACTGTGTAACATATTATAATATAGTGTTATTAAGAGGATGACTATAAGTATTGAATGTCACTGGTACTAAACTTTACAGGCCTGTCAAGTGTTGTTTTTCATTAATGACACTGAAATGTGCCTTTTCACAGGAGGCACTTCGACTTGTTCAAGTAGGAAACAACACAGGTGATATTAATAACATAACCATGGCTCTGTTCCTGTAAGTGTCCCAGTCAGACATGTGACAGTGAGCCTGCAACATGCCATGCACAGTACCAGGACGCTGAAACCAAAGCTGCCAAGTGGAACCATAAATTTAAATATTTACACCTGTTCGCTTTCAACTGCGCCATGTCAAAATGGCTTCCGAGAAAAAACTGTTGCAACTATAATTTCACATGTAATTGAGGAGAAATAAAACATTTATTCACTGGTCCAGGTTTACCTTTTTACATGAGACATTTTGCTAGCAGGAAAGGCACAAGTGTAAATGATTAAACTAAAGCTGCTATCATCAATATTTTTATTTTACAGTACTGAAAACACTTATAGTTAGCGACATAGCTTACGTTTTTAGCAGCTAAAGAGCTAAATGTTTTCCTCAAGAGTTAGTGGAAACTAAAAAAGAGCTTAAAGGTCGGTGAATATTGGACTTACATTTGTCAGGTGGTCAGGAACAGGAGGCATGCTAATGTTGTTCCGTATTTACTGGATGTGTCAATAGGCAACTGTTTGCTAACAAACCCGCCATATCAACTTAAAAGGTGTGTCAGCGTTGTGTTAGTAACTTCCATTGCCCCCCCAAGCCAGAAGTCAGTTACTGAAAGTTTAATGGACCAGAGTCATCATTATAATGATTAGTTACACCTGTGCTTTTCCTGTTATGATTGTAGCAGTTCTTTCAAGGAAATGAATATGGAAGTCCAAAACATCTTAACTCGACACAGCTCAACTCAAATAATGTCCACGATTATAATTTATTTACAATTAAATTTGTATCAAACAGTTCAGCTCAGAAATTTCTAATGAATTTGTTTTAAAAAATTACAGTCAGTCTTTGTGTGACTTTTAAAACAAGATGCAGTTATGACAGATATAATAAATATATATAAATATAGGCCATTTGCATTTGTTGATTTTTCATTCATTATAATGCTTTTGCTTATTATTATTCTAATGATGGAAATCAGACAGCTTGTTCTTGAGGGCTACGGGGAGAAGTTATTTTTTCTAAAAGCTTTGTTTTCCATTCACTCAAATAGTAAAACATACCAATTCGATTTCCCTTGATTTATTATTGTAGGCCTACTTATTTGACATTAAGTGTATAACCTGCATCATTAGCAGAATATATTAATTTAATTCTGAACATTTAAGCCAGTAAACTCCTCATCAAGAAGCGTAAAGTAAAACATGATGTAAAGAAAGCGAGAAGAGGAAAGGAAAAGTGGAAGTAAATGTTGTCGTGCACAGTATGAAAGAAAGAAAAAAGAGCTGGTGCAGAAAACAACTGAAAAGGACAGGATTTGATTACAGGCTCTTAAAATGGTTCTTTGTAGTCCTGCTTTGTGAAGTGGACAATAGAGGACTGTGCTTTTATCTCAAGAACCACACAATACACACACATTCTAACACTGATCCCAACCTGTAAATGCCTGCTTGATCCAACCCTAATTTAAAGGAGAAATACACCCTATAACTGTAGGTTTATTGGGATAAAATCATCTTTAAGTTGTTGTTTTTTTTGTTTGTACCTATCCACGTTTACATGTTGTGATGCAAGGACAGAAGTTCAGTAATACACACAGACACAATCACACACTGGTTTACTCATACGTGATTGTTTTTCAACTCTTGTGTGTTCTCTTATCGGTTCCAGATAACAAAGTCTGTGTCAATGACATTCCTAAGAGGACGCGTTCAATAGCAACCAGCTTTATGGCAGGGGCAAAAATTAATGCGACAGTCAGTGATGTAGTCAAAGGAGTTAGTTCGTCAATAAGAGAGAGACACAAACCTAATCTTTTGGGATTCCTGAACAGTTCATATGACCTATCTTTTCTGATTACCTTACACTGCAGCTCTCACTGAACACAGGCAGTCTCTTAAAGGTTGTGATTAATACCATACTCTCATAGTTTCTCCTTTGGAGGCAGAGAGAGTCATCTCAGACAGGCCAAGTGGGCCAACCACAAGCGTGCCAAAGTGTTGCATCACCAGTGCTGGTGTAGCTAGGCCACATTCAATCCACCTTAAAGAATTTTTATGGGGTTCGTTCCCTGTATAATAGACTCTTAATATTAATTCTGTTGTCATTTTGCGTATGTAAAAGGGTGCACAAATGTCAGTGAGTATGTTTGGTGGGGGTCAGTGTTTATCATCGTCCACACCTATGACACTAATTTCTAGCATGCCAATGTAGTTTTTGCCCTACCTGGTAAGTCAGCTGAGAACACCTCTGAAGAGGCTACTGCAGATTTTACTGACCTATAATATTAATTATTAAGGCTTAGCTTTTCCCCACCACACAATATCGCGTGCCAGCAGCAGGAGGATAGTGAATAAAACTTTAAAGTTTCAGTTTTTTCCATAATAATGTAATGTGGCTGTCCCACCAGTTACATAATAGAGCCCAACCTCCAACTGTGTCAATGACAGCTGTCGGCCCAACGTACAGTGTCGCTCAAGTGATAAAACCCTGAGATGAAATCCTTCCTTCTTTTCTCATAGATGGTAATTTTTCCAAGAAGGACAAAGTAAGTTCTCTCAATATAAGACTTTCTTCTGCAGGAGATGAGGAAGAGAAGGAAATAAGTTTGCTTTAACTAGTCCTAGCCTATAAAAGTAAAAAGAGAGTAGTAAACTACAATGTCAGGTGTCATTTAAAGTCACCTATGAATTACTTTATTTTGCATTTCCACAAGTTCAGCAGTTCTTTTTTAGTGTCCCTAAATTATGGCTATTTTGCACTATGAGCAGTCTTTACATAGTACTACCTCTCAATGAGATAAAGACAAAACATTGTTATCAGTCTCTTATGTTACATGTGCATGCAGTCTGTATTGCTTTAGTTTTCAGGAACGAGTGAGATAATGTATTGAATAAAAATGTATCTGTGATAAAACCTAAATGCATAAAAGATGTCAGGATAAATCATATGCTGATTTTCTTCAGCAATCTATTGATTATTTGATTTTACTCAGTATATGTTATTACACTTTAATGTATGAGGATATCTTTACAAGACCATGTGTATGTGACAATAAAAGTGCTGTAGTTTTGTTGGTAAGGCATTCCTAAGTATCATACCCTTGTCACAACTGTCCTGAAAAGGCTGCTTTTGTTCACTGGTACCACTTTGAGCGAGGAAAAACAAAAAGAAAAGCAGCAAATCAGAGACAGTGGGGATGGGTTGCGGTGGGGCCGTGAGCTCAGTCAACTGGCAAAGAGTTGCTCTCCATGAATAGGTGAATGGCCACCGCTCAGTAACTTCTCTGTTTATTCTCTCCCCAGTCCCCCCTTCCTTCACCCTATTGGTCCAGTCTCCCTCTCCCCCTTTATCTACATGCTTGTGCCCTCTCTTTCTCTGAATATTGCCAACACTCAGGACTTCTGCTGGTTGCCACTATGATTTCCCCCTATTCCGTGCAAAATTTTAACTTTCCAATAAGAGTCCAAAAACTAAAACTCCAACCGATGACAGCGATTATAATGCTGATCATTGCTCTGGGAAGTTAGAACTATTTATACTGGAGGCTATGGCCCCAAGAGCAAGAAAAGAGGACAAAGCTGACAACAGCTTGAGCACATTTATTAACTAGAAACAGCTCATACTCTATATTAGAGAAGTGGGAGGGGGACTGTTGGAAAGAATCTAAAAACACGGGTGTCAGAGAAACAGACCGAGAAAAGAGGGCAGACAAACTGTGCTAGACATGGTGGACTTTCGTCAGGGGGAGGAGCCATGCAGGGGTAAACACATGATGCCCACAAATACATGGATATAGAGAGATGCATGAAATCAAACACATATCTATGCACTCGTACACTCAAGGGCCTTACCTCACAGGTTTTCTTTAGCAAGGATATACAGAAGGATATACGGCCCATTATCTATACAATACACACACCCATGCAAACACTGTTATCTCTGTCACAGTGGCAGTAACATTCATGAAGATATGGAACCAAAGCTCACCACCTTGAGAAAGGCATCTGAGCCACCACAAAGAGGTGTAACTCAGTAGAGGTGAGGACAGAGAAGAGACGACACACCTCTGCAGTCAGTATGACCATTAGCTTTTAGATACTGAAAATGTGCTATGATGATGATGATGATGATGATGATGAACAGGATGTTGTTTATGTGTGGATTTTTAATGTCCAGCTCAAGTTTATGTCATTACCAACGTGAGTGTTTATTTGCTTCATTTTAGAGGAATCTGAAATTCAGCGGACACTCTCTCACTCAGATACTGTGCACACTACCCACACACGCACATTCATAATGCCTTTTTCCTCAGCATCTTCCAGGACACTGTCAAAAACACACACACCCACACACACACACACACACACTCACACTCACACACACACACTCACACTCACACTCACACTCACACATAATCAGTGTAGTTAACCATCAACAGGTCAATTCCGGGCACCCAAGTACTCAGACAGCTGTGAGAGAGGAGATGGTCTACCAAGGTCAATATTAGCCCATTATGGTGTTATATCAAAACCTTTCAACAAGCTCTGTGAGTGTGTGTGTGGGTGTTCCTGTGGATATGTGTGTGAGCTCATGTATTTCTAGGAGGTTTAGACTTAAGAGCAAGGACATTTTGGGGGAAGTGAGTACAATCTGGCTTGTCCTGTGTGAGAATTAAAGGAATGGTTTGATATTTTAGAAAATACACTTATTCTCTTTCTTGCCAAAAGTTAGATGAGAAGATCAATACCACGTCCGTCTGTTAAATATAAAGCTACAGCCTGGAAGACAGTTAGCTTAGCTTAGCACACAGACTGGAAACAGCTAGCCTGGCTCTCTCCAAAGGTAAAAAAAATCTTCTTCGCAACACCTCCAAAGCTCACAAATTAACATGTTATATCTGGTTTGTTTAATCCATGTAAGTGCAACAATTTGTGGTTCTACTGAAGTCAGAAACATCAAAAAACAACTATAGGTTACTAATTTTATTCAAATGTCAAATGCATAAGAAACATTTAAATATGTAACACATTTAATTACACAATTTACAAAAACATAAAAAAGTTTGAGTTTGAAAAAAGCACTTAATTTTGAATAAAAATTTAGTTTGAATTAAACACACTTCTGAATATTCTTAGAACTTGGTGGTAGTAATGCTTGCGGGAGAGTTAAACTTTACTGCCAGTTGATTGGCTCTTTCCCTCCCACTGTCCCAGCTCCTACATTGTCTTTCCCATCTGTGTTGCAGTAGAAGGTCACGGGGTCGGGGCCCTGTCCGAATGAGCCCCATGATTGGTGAAAAGATAAGACAGTGGTGGGCTCTCTCTGATTCGAGTCTCCACCATCAGTATTAGTGATTACATGAGAGTTTGAAGCAGCGATGTGGCTATATGTTACCACGGTGCTGGGATCTAGGACACTGGCATTGCTGGGAGTGATGGCGTTGCTATTGGTTACAGAATTGAGGACATTGTCGGCATTGCTGTTGTTGCTTGGTGTTCCGGGGAGGGCAGAGGAGGAAAAGGTCCGAGCTGGAGCCTGGGGTGGGAGCAGATTACTGCTTGGGGTTGGCATGAGGTTGGTGGAACGACTGAGAGCCAGACGCTGGGTGAGGAGCTGGTGCTGCAGCCGCCTGTCGGTCCAATCTTCCTGAGGCTGGCGGTGGATCTTCATGTGAGCATTGCGGGACTTGATTTTGTAGAACATTCTGGAGCAAGGAAGGGGTAAACAGAAAGACAGGTTTGGAAAGAAGACTTGAAAATTGATACCATCTGTTAGCTCACCCTGAAGCTAAACATGGAGATAGTTTGTGTAGGAGCTTCCTCTAGTATGAATGGTCCTACTCACTTGCCACACAGCTTGCAGGGGAAGAAGCTGGCCAATGAGGGCACTGGAACCGCCTCCTCCAGTCCAAACTGTCTGTTCACTGGCTGACAGTTGGGTGTTACCTATGAAAACAGGACCAATTGCCGTGACTGACTTGTTGAGGTGCATTCCACATTGGATAACCGTTTAAGTCACTACACAAGCCTTCACAAATATTCCAAATTCTTTCTTACACCAGGAACACTATATATTTGTTTCTATTCTATAAGCTGTTTCTATCAGGGATCAGATTGCATGACACAGTGAAGGCCACAGAGTATCCCAGCAATAAGCACATTGCTAAAGGGACAACAACAACAGGAAAAGAGAGAACAATAGAAAGAGGTTGAGAACTAAAGCAAAAGATCAGTGGGAGTCCCTGGATCAGCTGCGGCCTCTTAACAAGAGGCAAAATGTTTTTAACACTAAATCCCAGACTGCTTCTTTTAGGTGTTTCTTACATTTTTCTGCTGCTCCATTTCTGCATCTCTTTTCTCCTCCTCCTTCTGTTTTTTCTGCTTGTCCTGAAGTCTCTTGCTCAGGTAGAAAAATTCAACACACTGGCACGTGGACTTCGTCTTCACCTGCAACACACACACACACACACACACACACACACACACACACACACACACACGCAAACACCCACACAGTGAATACTTGGCACTCAAAAATTGACCTGACAGTACAACTTTTTCCATGTCTACCTCAGCAAGATTCCAAATATCATGTTAGGCAACATATTTTAGAAAAACATAACCAAACCGATGCAGTCACTGTAAACTGATATTCCTAGTCTTTTATTTTCACTGTCAGTGAGTTTTAGTGGTGGTGCACTTTTGGTAATCTCATAGTTGGGTATGGTTGAATGAAGATAACCATTGGATCTGGTAATGGCACTTGCAGCCGCTCAAATGATAGACTAGAGATGCCAGACACACAATAACTGCCATCTTAAGGCGACCGTAAAGGGACTTAATGAGCTGAAGGGGAGGCTCATGCCTCATGCTGGATAATGTGGATGACAGAACCTGCTAAACATGAGTATTACTCTGGCTTCTTGGCATCGCCATAATCAGAGTACAACTGCTTTATCAGTTACACACTAGCTACACGGTATACTGCTACAGTGTGGTTTGAACTATCTTATAATCCACAAAATATAAATATAAATAGTTGCAGAAATAGTTAAGAGTCACTTTTATGCTAGGACAAAGACAGATTAGAAAAGGAAAGCACTGAGAGGTTAATCATTATAAGATTGCAGCATAAATAACAAGCAATGCGTGAATAATAGTTATACCATTTTCTGTACGAGTGAAAACTCTTTTCCATAAGTTCCCAGAGCTGCACTGAAGAAATTCTTTTCACTGTCTGTCCAAAAGTCACTACCTACAGAGAGAGAGGAGGCCGAGGGGAAAAGAGGGCATGAGAAACAATAAAAACAAATACCAACAGGTCACCCTGCAACAAATGACTTAGTAACGCAACACCTGTGGTGAAATGGGTAAATTCCTGCAGCAACTCCACAATAACTGGTGAAAAGAAAGGTGACGATGTGTCTGACACCACTGTGACTGTCTGCTTTAACAGTGCAATGTACACCAGTGCACCTAAATGTTGTTATGTGGCGGACAGGTAACCCACCTGAGTGGACTGTACTGGGCAGAACAATGCCCACACTGTACCTTACATGGTTCTTGGTGGATTTAAAGGAAGTCAAAGAGAGAGAGAGAGAGAGAGAGAGAGAGAGAGAGAGAGAGAGAGAGAGAGAGAGAAAGAGAGGGGTGGCATGTGATGAAAGAGGCAGGAGGATTGGATTTCTACAAAGGCTACTATTGTATGTACAGTGGGAATGGTTACCCCTTTGCTGACTCACATTTTGACATGCAAACAACTGTTGATTGTTGTCACTGGAACACATTTTAGTTCATTTGACTTCTTTTCCTATTTTTGTTGAGATTTCACCTCAAAACATAATTGGGTGAGACCAGAGTTAACTCAGGTTAATTATCTATAAATCAAGCCAAAGAGTTATCTGAACACCAGGTGATAGTTTAGGAATTGTCCTTTAACAGCAGAAGAAACCCAAGAGAGTGAGGTCAAAGGTCAAAGGTTTACCAGGGTAGTGGTAGTCTCCTGTTGGCGAGGGCTGTGAGAACAGCAGCATCTCCAGTGTGGCCTGCACAGGAGAGAGGGATGGAGGAGGCAGAGAACAGAAAGATGAGGCATGCAATGGTTCTGAAGAGAACTAACTGGATATGAAAAAAGAAAGAAAGAAAGAAAGAAAGGAATGACAAAGAGTATGAGTGGGTGATGCGTGGGAGTATGTCATGGTGGATGGAGGACTGATGAAAATGATAGAATGAGTGCATAGTAAAAGAATTAATGAAGAATAAATGAAGACAGTCAGTATTACCATTGTGTTCCCCTGACAGTAGTGCAGACAGTGCAGGGCCAGCTCTGTGTTACTGCCCCCTCCTGGTAAACAGCTGGAACTACACATGGACAGCAGCTTCTCCACTGTTCATTCAGGCACACGCACACACACACACACACACACACACACACACACACACACACACACACACAAGTCGTTAGTCATGACTGACAATGAACCAAATTTTTTCAGGGTCTATCTTGTCTATCTACCCTGACATTTTCTGCGCCATTATTACTTCGAGCTATTTATTCAAAAAGCTTTATTTTACCTTGGTCTTGTGAGTTGGCCTCCAGCTCGCCCCACGGTTTCCAGAGCAACTGTTCCCTAGGGGATGCCTCCTCTGGTGACCACAGCCCTGAGCCCTTGCCACCTACAAAACAAGGAGGAAGCTCTGCCTGGAACTCACGGCCCACGTTGACATACCTGAAAGCGAGAAAGTGAAAAAGGTCAAAAATGATACAGATGTATATCTGAATGTGCATCAAAATACACACAGTGATAGACAGTCAAGCGATACATTTGCCAGTTTTTTGTTCACTCAATGTTCACTCTCGCAATGTTGAGCACCCACAGCATTTCACTTACGGTAACACACCACCCTTATGGTCTTCTTCTCCACATGCTGTTTCCTCCTCTCTATGTTGGAGAGATAAGATGGAGTAGTACAGCCCCCTCCCCCTGCGTACAGGATTGAGGAGGGGTCGAGGAGTGTAGCGGCCCCTCTTTTGACCCCTGCAGGAGTGAAGGATACTGTAAAATAGAGTTCCAGTGTAGATCGGGGAGGCCTGTTGGTGCAAGAACACAAGGAAAAAGCGGTTAGCCTTTTAGGATTAATACACAGTAATATACAAAAGCAGAAATAAAAGTTCTAAAAGACAGTATTTAGACAAGACCTAAAAGTTTTTTGGGGGGGTTGGAAGCATCTAAAACAGCAACTCCTCAAACATGTATTTTGAGCTAAATTGGTTGCCATTTTTTCTTTCACCAACTCTAAATCTGTCTGATTTACATACTGCATCTATTCAACATCTCTAAAAATAAAACCAAGACTGTGGTTTGCTGTTGGAACTAACGTAATTTCTTGACAAACAACCATTTACGTATACACCCACTACATCATCACAGCTTCTCCAGCTGTGGCGAGCGCTGCCTCCTCGCTACTCAGTCTCCAGTGAGTTTTATTGATGGAAGAGACGACAGAAGTGACGACAATGCGCAAACCTGGCAACCCCACTGTAAAAATGTGGCTTATGCAATGTGGTCGATATTCATGAGCTTGAAAAGCAAAATGTCTCTACTCTGAATAGACTTATAAAGCTTGTACTTATACTTTTCTATACATAGTAAAAGATCATTTTGGCCTGGATACTTCCTGTAACTAGAGGTTCAAACAATCAGCAGAAGTGTCCTTTCTGACTAATAAAGAGAAAGCTAAGACAAATAAAAATGGTAAAGAAAAAACAGTAAAGAACCACTGAACGTGGTGCAAGGCGGAGTTCGCCCCCATTCATTTTCCATTCATTAACGGTACATGAGCAATTTGATTTGCAAGGCATTGTAGGATTCCAGGCAACTGACCAGTGAAAAAGAAAAAGTGACTCAGTGGAGGGACTGGAAGCCTAGTGTTTGCTAGCAGTGTATGAATGTCTGTGGAGGTTCTCTTTAAGGGATCTTTTCTATGTCCCTGGCCTGCATGATTACAGGTACAAATAAAAACCAAATGCTGCTTGGCTCAAAGTCACATTACTTGTAGGAGAAAGTGCAGGTTGCTTATTCACACACATTGTGCTAATGAGCTAACTACAGGCTGGCTGTGGGTCTTTTAGTCTACAGCCGTGCTAGCAGCTCTGTGAGGCTGCAATGCTGACATCAGAATGCTAACATTCACACAATGACAATGCTTACATGCGGCTGTTTAGCAGGTATAATTTTTTTCAATGTTCTTAGCATGCTAACATTTAATCATTTGCACTGAACACAAGTAATTATTTGGCAATAAACCAAAGTAGTGGACAAAACGTTGATGTCTAAAGCAGGGGCGGTAAGAAATGCCTGCCTACCCCAGCTGCCACCCTAGTTTGGTGTCACATGCTGTCAAATTTAACACATTAATTATCACATCACATAAGTAATTTAATTAATTTTAAAAATCGAAAGATAAAAAAATTAAAATTAATTAAATTATCTGCTTGACCACTATTTAGAGTAAGTGATAAGCTTAACTTCAATGAAAAAAAAATAAATATAAAACAATTTATTGATTTCTAATTCTATGTGTGAAAATGAGTAGACGTGGCGTACTGTACCTGCAGCTGTGATTGGTTCAGATTGGCGGGTCCATTCTTTACTTTCTGGGTCACCGTGTAAGGGGCTATCTTTTCTGCTGCCTCATGTTGTTGGCCGGAAAGGTGAGATGGATGAGAGGGAAGATGGAAGGAGGAATGAAGGGATGGAGTATTGGAAGGACAGAGTGTACTGGGTGGGTGGAGCGACGTGAGGAATGGTGATTCTGGAGACTGAAGGATGTTGTGTGAGGCTAGAAAAAAGAGAAAGGGGGAGGACAAGAACAGTAGAAATTCATGATGTTGTCAGTGCTCCATAATGGTCTGTGCTGTAAAACTGCTTGATCATTTTGAGCGTGGCAGACAGTCAGACAAAACAAAACGGGGGGAAAAAAAACAAGACATCACTGTTCTCTGTGCAGACAGGAAAGTGTTACAGCAGACACTGACAGAAGGTGTTTGTTGGTTGAAAACACTATCAATTCTTGTGAAAAAGCACATGTGAACTCTAAGCATACATCCTGGATATAGCCTGCTGTATGGTAGTTCTTAAAGTTTTCACATTGCATAAAATAGTACAAAAGACGTCTTATACAAATGGTTTCATACATGAAAATCTGAAAAGTGAAAATGTAATTTGCATACGGGAAATGGGAAATTTCACAAGTTCACCTACTAAAACCCACATGTCCCGTAAATTAACATGAGGGTATTAACCTGTGGTTTTCTGTGTAAGGGGGAAAAATAAAGTTCATGTTTAAGTATACTCTCTATTTATTACTCTATTTCAGTTTTGTCTTTCAGAAGCAGTTATGGCAAACTCTAAATAAAAAATGTTATGTTCTTCTCGCTACCATGCTTTCATTCACAAAAATGCACATACAGTAGCTTACCTGTGATGTTGCCATAGTCACCGCCGTGAGAAGATCTCAGGTTTCCCTCGATGTTACTAGAAAGTGGAAACTTCCATATCATCTGGGGGGAATGGATTGACGGGAGAGACTGAAGGTGGGAAGCGAAAAACTGGAGCGCAGCAAGTGATTCATCCCCCTGGGACACTGAATGTCCGGTGCCCCCGAACGCACCGGGAGAGTCCATCTTGGAAGGCGAGTGCGAGGGAGGAGGTAGAGGTGTGGGCGGAGGACTAAGAACGGAAGACATGAGGTGAGAAGAAGAGGGGTGAGCAGGTGAAGAAGAGGAGGAGGGAGGCAGGTAGGAGTCCGAATCAAAAGCACAGCTGTGCCTTGACTTGACCAATCCAGGGCTTTCTCCTCTCTCTACTCCATAGTCCCAGATTTGTCCAGAGGAATTCCCGATTGGAATCACAGGGCATCTTCTCTTTCGCTGGGAGAGGAAAGCCTCGGAGAAAGAGTCCAGTTTCTGAATGTACGTCCCGCTGCTGAGAGGTGATCTCTGCGGTAGGCACCCCGAGGTCAAAGTGAGGCTGTCTGCTGTCCCTCTCAACCTGCCATCTCCGGACTGACTCGACGGAGAGACACTGAGCCACGGTCCTTCAACCTCAAGAGGCTGAAGCTGATCCTTGCCTGAGCCACAGCTGGACCCATAATCTTCTTCTCTTCCTAAATAATTATCACTCACTCTTGAGTCAGTCCTACAAAACTCTACGCTGCTGTCACTAAAGCTCCCTGCCGCACTTCTGTTGTAGGAAGTAGTTTGTTTAGTAAAATGGCTAACGTTAGCCTCCCTATTGTAAACTGTTTCGCCTTTAGCTTCATAGCTAGCATGAGCATAATTATTATAATTTGCTCTGAGTTTACGCCTGACTCCGTCCTCGTTGCTGCAATTCATGGTGTAAAAAACATCATTTGCGTTACTGTAGCAATCACCTTTACTATAAAAATCATCTGCAGCGCTTTCACAACTTTTCCCGTCCTCCCAAACTTGCTCTTTTTTGCTACTCCCATACCAAGGGTCGGCAAAATGGCCGCCTAACCCTCCTTCTCCGTCAAGATGGCCTCCCAAGTTAGCATCTCCATCCAAACCGCTACCACTTGTGTTAAGCAAGCCTCTGTCAACCCCACTGCTCGCCCTCCTTCCCCCAGAAGAGGTGCTGGAAGTCAGGAAGGAGGTTGTGGCTTCTTCCCCTCTACTTCCATATTGAGAGTCCAGGGCAGGCTGAGAGGACGGGTATCCTACTTCAGGGTCTTGAAGGCTGGGCAAGGTGAGGTGAAAAGATGGGCGGTGGCGATGGTGGTGGATGTTTGGGAAGGATTGGGTGGATGATCGGTCGTCCATGATGGCTCGCTGGGTGTAGCTAGAGTGCCTACAGGAGGCAGACAGAAACAGGGTAAGTAGGAACAAACAAATACAATAATGTAACATTAGCGCTTTATTTCCTTAGCTGTCACCAAACATGGTGCCTCATTAGTATTTAGATATGATTAGATGGAACAGGTGAAGACTGACAGGAAGGGGGGAGAGAGAGGGGATGACACGCAGCAAAGGCCCACAGGTCGGACTCGAACCAACAGTTGCTGCAGCAAGGACTCAGCCTTGGTACATCGGACACCAGCTTATGATTTCAGTTTACTGAAGTATATGATCAATGAGATTAGGTTACAGTAAAGGCTTCATCCCCAAGATTAACAGCTAACACCACTTTTTAAGTAGATAGGTAGATATTAAGTGCTGGGAAAACAGGCTGGTTTCAAGTAACCGGAGTAGGCAGATGCTATCACATCTCATAAATCCTCTGTCCATAAATGGTTTGTACAGAACCCTTCAAGTATTAAGGTCATTTTCTGATAATTCATACACATTTACCATATCTGCCTAAAATGAATTATGCAGGCTGCCAACGTACAGTAAGGGCACCTTCTTTATTCCAAATCAAGCTCAGATTTTTTAGCATGCGTATTCCTGTTGAGTGCCCCACAAAACAGGTGACAGATTATCCGTTGTGCTTGGAAATGTCTGCAACATAAACTGAAGAAAAATGCATTAGCCCTTGGGCCAAACTGGCAACACAGGAGAAGGAGAAGCTAAAGACAAGGTAAGTTTGCAAGCAAACGCAATGCTACGTTCAACAAAAAGCAGTGCGAGTTCATAAGTGTTTGATAAAATAATGTTTTTCTATTGTTACTGTGATTGTAATATTCATAAAAAGAATGTTTCAAGAGCACGGCAAGTTGTTAGAAATTCACTTTAAGAACAGACATACTGCAAACATTTACGTCGCGCTGCAGTAAATCTGTAAGTCTTTCGTTGGTCTTTCTTCCTCACAACCACATTCTGCTCTAAATAGGACACTGAATGAGTCAGAAAGAGAAAGAACGAAGGAAGATGAGATGAAGAGACAAATACACTGTATACGTTTTGAGGTTGTTGTTTTTTTTACCAGTCTTTGGCGCTTAATTTCCTTTTCACATATGTTCGTCTTCTGTTGTTCATGTTTTCGGGTCCTAGTTGTTCTTCTGATTTTCTTCATCGTTCTCTCTGACTTTTTTTTTTGCTTCTCTCGCCACTGTCTCGAGTGTTCTAATTATTTCCCCCTTCAGATTTTTCAACCTCTCACATAGTCCTTCCTATCTGTCTGTCTCTCTCTCTCTCTCTCTTAGCTGTGTATCTTCTGACAGCACACACACACACACACACACACACACACACACACACAGACACACGCACACACAGTCTGTCACACATAAAACAAAATGGACACAAACACGCAACCAGATACACAGACCACCAGATACATTGTCTCTTTCACAAACATAAGCGCACACACACTCACTTACGCACTCATTTACTCGCTGATATACACGTACATTCAGACACACGCGCGCACACACACACACACACACACACACACACACACTCTGACTTTCACACTCATTTGCAGGTGTCAGAGGGGACCAGCGGGTAGTGATGTTGCCTCTCTGCCTTTTCGTCGTCGTGGTAACCACATCCTGAGGAAACAAACGCTGACGGATCTCCCTCCTTTCAGCTATCTTTATCTCTCTGCCCCCCTCCTCCATCTCTCTGTCTCTCTTTCCGTCTCTTTGCCTGTCCTTATCTCTCTCTGTCTCACCATGTGCCCAACTTTGTTTTCTCTCTCTCTCTTGTCCTGCCTTTCTTCTTCCGTTTGCTGGCTTTTCATCTCTCTGCTTTCCTCAGTCTTCTTGTCCTTTCTGCTTTTTGGTGTGCATCTATGTTCTTGTCCCACCCCCTTTTTGGCACTCTTCTCTTTTATTGTTGTTCTTTTCTGTAGTTCCTTTTTTTTAAACATGCTTAGGTTACTAAAACACTCGGGGATGTCTTAAATCTTAAAGACTTTTTAATCAGCAGTTGATACACTTTTAGCACCTTCAGTTATATAAATACACATGTATTATAAAACTGCAGCCTGTAGGTATAAGGTGCTACTTTGGTTGACCTTAGTAACATTTTTGCCCAAGTAATAAGTGTGATAAAGGTGTGTGTATGTGTGAAATATCAATGTTTGTGTCTTTCAGAATGTGTGAATGTACACGCAAACATCTTTGTGTGCCTACATACAGTACATGTAGTAAGTGTATGTGTATGTGTGAGCATGTGTGTGAGAGTGTGTATGCAGAGGCGGTAGCGTAGATGTTTACCAGATCAAGATTCTCCGGCTGAGTCAGCTGACAGGAAGTGAGAAAGAATGAAACAGGAAGGAAGACGGCGACAAACGATGAGGTTCAGGGAACCCTCTAAACACCCTGCAGCCCCACCTACTCACCCACCCACTCACCCACATACACACAAAGTTTGTACCTTGAACCTTTAACATGTCAATATGCTGTTTTCTACCTTTGTTATGTCATTTAGCCTTAAAACACCCACTCAAACACGCACACGTAACCTCAAACATAACCGCTGACAGGTCCGCAGGTCTGTGAGCAATTTCAGTGACTTCTGACGCACACCCGTGCACACACAAGCCTGTTAAGCACAGACAGGACAGGCAACGCTAAAGCAGTTTAAATACAGTTAGTGGTACTAAATTGTGTGACAAGTGAACACTAATTTCCTGCATTAAAATATAAAAATACTATATTACTAAGTAGAAGCCCCAAAAGACAAAAAAATTGACATTCGAGCAAAATCCAAATAATGGTAAATTAATGATGTATGAACATATTGGCAGTATTTTTTATTGTTTTGGTGATCAGGGTGATGTTAGCTTAATGTTAACTTCTTGCAGTATTGTTAGTTGTTAAAACTGAAGCAATTCATCTTTAGAATCTTAATGATCATCATTTGTAAATTCAATTGTAGTACAATGCAGTAAACAGTACAATGCGAAATAACAGCATATGGTATGTATAACATATGGTCAACTATGAAATGTACAAATTAAATGTATAAAATCTTGAATGAAATCCTCAAGGGATGTGTCATCACCTCCCGGTTGCACGTCTGTACACCACTGGAGTTAATGTACTTCGCTACTTTCTGAATCTTGTAAACTGTGAATATTGTATTGAAAATGACAGCATCTGTTGCGAAATCAGGGACGTAAATACCTTTCTGATGAAACTGTCATTTTCACTGAGCTATGGTAACCCTGTCGAGCTGATACTAAACTTGCCCGACCCTCACAGATGCAATTTGTGAGTGACAGTTTTTGTTTTGTTTTTTTAAATGCGATACTGAAGCCATTTGTGTTCTGAGTGCAAGCAGTGCTCGCAAATCGCTTTTGTTAAACGGATCCCAGTTTGGATGAAAAGGTTTTTCGAAATGTGTTCACCAATCAATTTAGCATTATATATATTTGGATTAGGACAGAATCCTCCAACAAATCACTGATTAGTAATAGTAAAAAACTTTATCACGTGTGGTACAGTGGCCAAAGTGAGAGTGAGAAAGGAGCAAAAGTGTGTGTGTGTGTGTGTGTGTGTATGTAAGAGAGTCAGTGTGTGTAGGTGATCATGTTAATGCTGAGGTCACCTGTACAGTGTGACTACTTCTCATAGCTGGAAACCTCAGCATTAACATGCATAATAGATAATAATGTGGTGACTACACAAAGTGTCTGACACAATAACCTCAATATTAGCATACATGGTCACTTTATTTTATTGATGTGTTATATCATCTTATTCGAGGCCAGTGCAGTCTGCTACAGATAACATGACTACAGTACATTTCATTCAAATATTTTAAATCTGATGGTTTCCTGAGCTGCTGTAAAACATTTTCTGATATCAATATCAAAAAGATGATCAGCGTCGATACCTGAGCCATCTTTACATTTCTGTGGGCACACTTACAGCCAAACAACATGCAGTCGACTGACAGCAGGGAGTGAGATTCTGCTGCTCAACAACATTAGTCCTGAAAAATGTGCCTCTGAAAGGGAAGTGAGACAGCACATTTCCCCAGACACTTTTTACATTGGTCTTGATCATCCAACATGGGGACTACTTTGTTAAATTCAAACTGACAGGTTAAAAATCCTCCTCTCATTACAATTTAATCATATGTTTCAGAAGAAAATGATGGCCTTTCAAGATATTTGATAATTAAGTGCAGCGAAGAAAAGACATCACAAAAACTGAGTATAGTTTCGTGGAATAAAACCCTTCAAATGTAAGGCGTCAAATTAAATTGGTTTCTTACAGTTTTTTGTTTTTTTTACTTTTTGGTCTCTGTATCTCCAGTTCAGCACATCCAGCCTTCTTTACGCCTGAGATTCTGACATGTTCGCCTAGTTATCTGTGTCTCCCGTGTGTACGCATTTGCATACATACATTCATGTACGTAACCATGAGAAAACAGACGAATAAAAACATGTGTGAATGAAAGGATGTGAGAGGGTGGAAGGGGAGTGCGGAGGAGTCAGTATGGGGGAGACGTTTCTCTAGTTTTCTCTCAAATTAACTATAAAAAGCTGCGGGAGCAGAGGAGGGGGAAAGAAAGACGCACTTCTGGACTTTTTCTCTCAACTTTTTTTTTCTGCGAGCCTGCCTTCCGTCACTAAGAAATTAAGTGATGACTGGCGGGAACAGAGTAACAGAATAGATTAGGGAGAAATTACAGAACCAGATAACATGAGTTGTTCCCTCACAAGTCTTGTGACTACCAGCACTGAAACGATAATGCCAAGGTGTTTGTGGAATAAGCTAATGCCCCGTCAATAACCTTGTTGTTACGATGGCCCATGCTGACGCTGTAGATGTAGTGTAACGGACAGTACAAGATGGTGTATATAAAATACTGAACGCACAAAAGTGAAACTGCTACCAAACTGCTCATCACTCAAGGAGAAGGTGAAAGAGACTTTTGTTAAAAAATATAATATTTTCCTTGAATGTCTTTCATGCAAATCAATAAAGAGATGAACTCAAAAGATAGTGTACCTGTATTGCCGAATGATCCCCATTTGTTAACGAAAATCGTTTGGAAAATCAGTCATGGAAAGTGTGTTAAAGATATTATGTCTGAAACACTGTCAGACAGTATGGTAACATTTTATAAAACAAAAGCTAAATAGTAGACACAAAGTTGTATTTTTTTTAAAATATATTCACATTGAACCTGGATTTGCTTCGGTGCAGGGGAACTAATTCCTGTGTCTGAGCTATGCTTTTTGGTTTATCACTTGGAATTGCTTAGGATCAGTATTTCAGTGGTAGACACAAACATAAGATACACACCAGAGATTCACAGGGGACCCCAGGCAGGTTTGCGTGTTATGCAGAAAGAGTTGCAGGAAAGTCTGATGACTTTGATGTATTTAAAATAAAAAATAATGTGGCTGGAATTGCATATTGCATATTTTTCTTTTTAATGCATATGGTGCTTTTACAAATGATTAAATGTGCGCCTGAAACAGAGCTTTTGCGTCTAAAACAAGAACACAAGCCAAAAAAGACCCCGCTGTGCACACTTGACTGCAACGCTACACACTTCTAAAGACTGTTACAGGCTTCTTTTAAGTAAAATAAACCATTTCAGTTTGCACCACAGGAAGAGCCACCTGAAAGCATTTATAAAAAGTACACAAAATTATCGAATACAGTAATTACAACACAATGCCACATTTCTTTTTGTTCTACAATGCGTGGTTCCACAGGGAATATCACGGGACATTCTAATGTCAGTTTCACGTGATGGACCTTCATTTATTAATATACAAGGTGAAATGCGCCAAAAGTTGGATGCGCATTCTTACGTAAGACCAGGACCAAAGGGACGACCGTGTTTAAGCTGTAGTCTAAAGGTGCACTAATTGACCTAAACTGTAAACTGTAATCTCCAATAACCCATACACCAACTTTTTCAAGAGCTAAGAACGTTATAAAGCTTCCAACTTTAAATTTTCTGCAGCATCATGTTGTAGCTGTACTTAGAAATTAATGGCAACTTTACGATCATGTCCATCTATGTGGTTAACGTCCGTAATTTCATTGTGATTAAATCTGATCACACACAAAACTGCAAACATGTGACACTGCTGATACAGAACGATACTGGCAATATGACACTTTCCATTATTTTGAATTCCAAATACATGGATGCAGAAAATACCAACAATTATAATTTATTATTGCAAGGGTCTGAGTTCTGAATAAAATGATCCATTCAAAGAAAGGTCACAGAGGTCAAGGGACGGTGAACTGAAAGAATTAAAAGGCACATATTACAAATATATTAGCATAATTCATGTGACATCATGATGCTTAGATTCTTTAAGCTATCACAAAATTCAAACTAATAATGTATTTTGATGTGCAGTATTGTAAATATATAATAAAATACAGTATTGTGTATTTTTGCACTTGAAATTGGCCGCTGATACGCTGCTAAACATACTATAGTTCTGGTGAGTGCATAGGGCTAAACTGCCAGTAAAATGATTAACTCGGAGTAAACAAATATTAAATATTGCATTCAGATGCCGGATTTTGTATGCTTTAGAATAAAAGGAATTAGAGTCGATCTATTCTTCTGATAAAAATACCAGTGTCAGAAATGAAAGCTGCAACATGTCTTGGTCATTCAGGTTGTGATGAGAGCGCAGTATTTGCACAGGTCCTAATCTATGCTATTATTACTAGTATATAGACACTGGGGCCATCCCATGACCATAACCAGTTTTCCCTCAAGGACCATTAGAATTTTATTGTACTTCAAGTTTAAAGACAGCAA